CTGCTGAAGTCTTTTTACCGTTATCATCTGTTGCCACCATACTCTGTTTACAAGTTATTTAAGTTTGACTAAATGGGAGCAAGAGAATACCCCCTCAGGTCCTAAATTTTATCATTTCTAGACAGTTTTCCTATTTGTGAAAGAGGAGCAGAAGCATCCAGGAAATCAGCGCACACGTTTGAGGATCAAAAGCCAAGTGTCGGGCCAGAAGGTAGCGTGGTAGTTAAGGTGCTGGACCCCCCTCATGGCTGACCATGGTTCGAGATCCTGGATCTGTCTCTTGTTCGCTCGCTCTCTCTCTCGTCAAGTAAAAAAGAAGAAGAAATTAAATTAATTCTTAAAGAAAAAAGAAAGCCAAATGTCTGTGGCTCTACCTTTCTGAGCTCTAGTTTCTTTCTCTGAAAAATGGAGGGGATGGAACTGTGGGGTGGGGAGTGATGGAGGAACACAAGAATCTGAGAGTTTCTTTAGGATATGATACTTAAAGCCGGTACCTATAGGTACAGTTTAAGACCTGGGCGTTCACTTCCCGGAATCTTGCCCTGTTCTCCCCTTTGTAACTTTTGATGTCTGGGGACAACAAAAACACTACATCACTGTGTTCTGAGTTATGTGTGGAAAGGAACTATCAAGGATATTATGGCATTGCTTCAATAGGTCATCAGATAGCTGTATTACAGATGGAAAGACTCATTTTTTACTTTCCAAGAAAAATATTTAATGCTTCAGAACTTTCTTCCCCAAAAGCCATTGAGCACCTTGAGGGTATCAGTGAACTTGTACATCGCCATGACACTTACCCAGCACAGAGATCCGTATACGATACCTTTCCCGAGTGTTGACAGAGCAAATAAATATTATGTGTGATTACCTTAGATTTACACCTTAGAATTTATGGGCTTCCATAAGTTCCAGAAATGTCTCACGTAAGAAGGCCATATGTACACAAAAATCCAAACTTAAACATAGACACATTGGTCCAGCCTAAGGGCACAGTCCTTAGCTTACTGGGCTGCAGTGCTGGGGCCACATGACCCTTTTATGGTTTGAGTATCCCTGGAGCTGCATTACTGACCAAGATGCTGACAAGTTGGAGGACTGGAGGAAGGGGCTCGCATTGTGACCATGCCTGTTGAGGGTGCCCCCGGCCCCTACATGCTCTCTATCATGAATAAAGTAAATGTAGAAAAAATTGACAAGAGATGATTCACATTACAAATAGAGTCTCTGTTTTACAAAAGATTTATTATAGTCTTATAAACATGGAGGTGCTCTTCTGGATGAGATTTCACAAATTTGATTATACACAACTACTCAGTGCTTGTCTGTGGTCTGTGGGGCATAGTGTGGGCCCCTGTGCTGTGCTAAGTTCCCTATTTTACTACCCACCATGGTCAACTGGTGCTATTAAGACCATATATATAAATAGTTGAGTTACCAGCTAAGTGCTAGCAGAGTGCTTACTGCCATTTTAACCTCTTCCTTCTCTAAGGAATCAAAAAAAGAATAGACATTAACTTTAAAATGGTAAATAAGACCTATGTCAAATTCAATTCTGTCCAATCAAAACATAGCATATTGCTGTTGCTCCAAAAATATTACCATCATGACCATCATCTGTTTGTTTTATTTCTGCTGTAAGTAGTAGTGACGTATCACACATAAGAAAACAAGCAAAACTAGCATTGCTTGTTATTTTAAGAGATCTTTAAGCCAAGCTGAGCACCTATTTGGGACTGTGAATATGCTTTAATAAAAATATGTTATTAATGCCCTGACCCACAAGACAGTCGAACGGGTACCTGGGTGAGGTCGGTGAAAAAGAGGACTCACATAAAACTTTTACACACACACACACACACACACACACACACACACACA